GAGGAGAGCTGTGCTACACCGGAGAGGACCCGCCAGCTGCGGCTGAGACGCTGCAGAGAAGCCGTTCTCCCCGAGCCCAGTCTGAGCCTGGGAAAAGCACAGAGCAGCAGCACTCCAGACCTGTAGGAAAGGGAGAGCCAAGGCCTCCAAGTAACCTTAACTGTGCCCTGTCACAGAATTCAGCCTCCCGTAGAATTACGTTCTCCAGGGTTGTGTGCCCAGCTTCGCAGCCCCCGTCTGTGCAGACACTGCTCCTGCTGAGAGCTCTCCCCGAGCCCAGTCTGAGCCTGGGAAAAGCACAGAGCAGCAGCACTCCAGACCTGTAGGAAAGGGAGAGCCAAGGCCTCCAAGTAACCTTAACTGTGCCCTGTCACAGAATTCAGCCTCCCGTAGAATTACGTTCTCCAGGGTTGTGTGCCCAGCTTCGCAGCCCCCGTCTGTGCAGACACTGCTCCTGCTGAGAGCCCCCTGCATGAGGCCCACACACTTGTGCCAATGGGGCTCACACCAGGGCACTGCAAGAGCTGTGTAGATGGGGCTTTGATCAGACTTTGCTGGAGCCGAGGGGCTGGCGTGTCGACACTGACAGCAACAGCCAGCGGCAGATGTCCCCGCCCCTTAGGGCATGTCTACACGAGCCCCCTAGTTCGATCTAAGGAAACTAATGAGGGTGATCGAAATTGCAAATGAAGCGTGGGATTTAAATATCCCGCGCTTCATTAGCATGTTCCCGCCGGTCGCCATTTTAGAAATTGAATACAAATTGGCAAACCTCATTCTAGGAGGAACAGCAGCTAATTCGATTTAGGGCTTTAATTCGGAACCCGGTTCGCTGCCGCGGGTAGAGCGGGCAGTTACTCCGGGCTAGTCAATTTCTAAAATGGCCACTGGCCGGGAACATGCCAATTTGCAATTTCAGTCGCCCTCATTAGCCTCCCTAGATCGAACGAGGGGCTAGTGTAGACGTGCCCTGAGAGCAGCGGTGCGCAGCCCCTGGGGCCCGGCAATTAAAGGGGCCGCGACTGCATTTTGGCAGCCCAGCGTGGGGTTTTTTTGTTTGTTTTTTTTCTCAACAAAATGTTCCCGGGGCTCGCGAATGAAAAAGGGTGAAGCCCACTGCCTTGGGGCACAGCCCCGCACCTGGAGCCCAGCCTGACCCTTACTGCAAAGTGGAACAGTGGGAAACGCAGCCTCATGACATCCGCACCCCGACCCATCCAGTGGCCGGGGGGCCTCAGCCCAGCCCTTTGCCCCCGAGATATGAGCAGCATATGCCAACCTGGGGGGGCCCAAACATCTGGGATAACTCTCCCCGCTGCTTATTCACCAGCCACCAGCTGCTGCCAGCACAGCGGTGATGCTCCGGGCCTTGTGGGCCTTGCTCTCCTGTTCCAGCTCGGAGCTGGCACGCACCACTTCGTCCCACGCCAGCGCGCAGCCCTGGGCATGCAAATGGCAGCCCTCAGCAGCAAGGGAGCTTCCTGCCAGCTGGGGAGTCCTGCCCCGAGAGCGCACACGCCCGTTCACCAGCCACCAGCTGCTGCCAGCACAGCGGTGATGCTCCGGGCCTTGTGGGCCTTGCTCTCCTGTTCCAGCTCGGAGCTGGCACGCACCACTTCGTCCCACGCCAGCGCGCAGCCCTGGGCATGCAAATGGCAGCCCTCAGCAGCAAGGGAGCTTCCTGCCAGCTGGGGAGTCCTGCCCCGAGAGCGCACACGCCCGGTCCCCTGGTCGTAGGCTCCTCCCCCTGCCAGGGCCCCCCC